GGGAATTGCAGGGTAAATCACAGCAGGTCTGCTCCTCTACCTTACAGGCTTGGTCTCCTGATGCACTGTACAGAGAAACTAAGGTGAGCAAAACTAGGAATGATTTACTTACCCAGTAAACCAGGTAATCATACTTACATTATTTACATCGTGGCTATTGTCTTCCTATTTACCAATTACCAGTCAGCAAAGTTCTTCAGTCAACAGGATCTGTCACCAAGGCCATTTAGGTGATCTGAATTAGGGTTTTTTTTCCCTGGATGATAGTTTTCATACAGTCTATTAAGCAGCTTGTCACCATAGAGGTAGAAAGCAAACGTGAACCAGCCCTTGCATTTTTTCAATACAGCATAGGAATTATATAGGAAACTGCTTTATCTCCACAAGAAACCAGCAAGCAAGAACCATTCATTGTTAATGTGGTGCATAGAAATAAGTAATAAACCAAAAAGAATGAATACATAGGAACATTTTCTTAAGATATTAGAAGCTTTGATTATCTTTATAAGGTGTTGTAAAGTGGCCTCTTTTCTGAAGGTGATGTTAGGATTGCCAATTCTGGGCTATAAACATCTGGGTGACCACCAGAGAGTTTTCTGTACCTTTTTCATGCCATCTAGTAGCCATTTAGATTTTTAGCACAGATCTGGTATATTGTATATATGAAGAAAGACTGGACTTTTTAGTATGAAGCATGGGTTTCAAAAAGTCATTTACTCCATCCTAACCATGCAAAAAGGCAGTCAAAATGTGAAAATGTCACTGTTATTGAGTCTTGGGAATCAAGAGCTGCACTTCTTGAAAGGGGTGTATCTTGTTTGTTTTAGAATTAAGAAATGTTAAACACCTTAATTAAATCTCTGGTGCTGCTGAATACCTCAGTGTGACAAGCATATCTCTAGGGAGCCTGTTTGCCAATCAACCTTATCAGTTCTCCTGGTCATGGGCTAATCCAGTCGAAAGTGGCCTTCTCAGCTAATGGGACAATCAAGCTCAGGTCAAGTACTTTGGAATCTTTCTTGTTCTGCTTTTCCTATAATGTCATCATCCTTTCAGGATGCCTCTTTGTTTTGGTGGACTAAAGCCAATCAAGATACACTGCAATCTTTGTTTCCTTTGTATTTCTATAACTGCAGTCTCCCAAATTTGGTATTCACTCATCTGTACCTCACAAATCAACCCAGAGTTTTCACTGGAGGCACAAATGACCAGGCTCAAATTATCCTACTTTAGACACATTATGCAAAGACCTGGCTCTCTGGAGAAGGCTCTAATGGGAAAGGTGGAAGGAAAGAGAAGAGGATGACCAGCAGCAAGGTCAATAGCTTGTTACAGTAGTGATGAGTGCACCATTTAAAGAGCTGAAGGACCAGGTTAGGAACAGATCATCATGGAGAAAATCTATGTGGTCACTAAGAGTTCACAATAACTTGATGGCACGTAATCATCCATCATCATCATCATCACCTGTTGTAACTGGCTGACCCTACATTCATAGCCAAGCAGAAGTGAATGTCCTAGAGCTCCCAAACCTGGTCCCAAACCCATCCCACGATATTGCTAGAGAAAGATTATAGGTCTGGAAGGAGTGCCAGACTAGTGAGCGGCCCCGGAGACCAGAGAAAATTTTTCCTGTTTTTAGAGTTCGTATAGGCTGAGCCTCTTGTATAGAGGAGTAAATAAGGCTGCTGAGATAGAACTGTGATTGTGAAGAGCTCCAGAAACGTCCTTTTAAATTGGGTGGATAGACAATCAAATGGTAAATGCAGTTCAATTTAAATAAGTGCAAAGTGATTGACATTGGGGCCCCTCCAGCTTCAAATACATGGTGGAATCTGAGCTGTCTATAACTAACCTAGAATATATCTTGGGGTCAAAATGAATAGCTCAATGAACATGTCGACTCATTGTGTGGCAGCTGGAAAAAAGGCAACGTTGTGCTTGGGATCATTAATAAAGGGATTGAGAATAAAATTGCCAACATTGTAAAGCCCATATATAAATCTACAATAGTCTGAACCTGAAATACTTTGTACAGTTCTGGTTGCCACATTTGAAAACAGATATAACACAGTAGAAAAAGTGCAGAAGAAGGCAATCAAAATGATTGGACACCTACAAGAGAAAACTAGAATGTTTGGGACACTTTACTAAGTGAGGTTAAAATCATGCATGGCATGAATTAAGTAGATCAAGATTTCTCTCCCATTCTCAATCTATCAGAATCAAAGATCATCTAATGAAGCTGACAGGAAGAAATTTAGAACAGATAAAAGAAAGTACATCATTAATCTAGCGACTTCATTATTGTGGTGATGGTGGCCACTAATTTGTGTGATATTAAAAGGGGATTGGATAAATTTGTGGGAGGACAGGTCTATCAAGGTCTGTCTTGAAGTTTCCAGTTGAGGATACTGTCTCTCAAAATACCAGTTGCAGGGGAATGGTGGGAGAAGGGCAGATTTTCATCTCTTGCTGTGATCATTCCAGAGGCATCTGGTTGGCCATTGTGACCAACACAAAGCTGGACTAAAATTGCCTTGGTCTGATCCAGCCCAGCTCTTCTTACATAGAACTGAAGGACAGTTTCTAAAGGGCTACAGTGCAAAGGTATGTTACAGCAGTAAGGTCCCAAAGGTGGACAGAAAATGGATCTTATAGCTTTGCAGTACCGAGATTGTTTATTCTGATTAGATCCAGGCGACTTCCATTCTTTAGCAACTCTATAGGCTAGTCCAGTGAGACTCTGAGGGAAAAATACTTTTTTAAAATTCTCCTTTTGTCTTTAGATTACAGCCTCTCCACACTTTCACCCCAATCCCCTTGAAGTAAGCACTGTATGAGTGTGTGTGTATACTTGACAGTTTCTTCTTTTATTTTTGACATAGCATTTCACCCTTTATTAGATATTTCAAATTGAATTACTAATTTCCTCCAGCTAAAATAATTAGAATTCAATATATTTTGCTATTCCCCAAAGAAATTACTTGAATATTTGGATTCTGTGTGCTTTATGTGTGTCAATACAAATTCCTTTAATTGAAAGAGATTACTGTATGAGTGGTAACTGGATTCAGTTAATCAAAACACCCTTTTGGCCAATGTTTAAAAATCCCTTAGTTAATATATTTCAGGAAGCGTTTTACAATTTGAAATGGAACATAACTGATAATAAAGGGGCCTTCATGTTGCCTGTATGTCAGGCAGTGGCAAGCATGTATTAATAAAAGGAGTTGGTGATTGTTAGTGAGAGAACGGAACAGATATAAACTGGGACCTGGGCCCAAAATGTAGCTTCTGTTACTTACCCTCTACCAGTACTAGCAGGAAATAACATAGCCTGCTTCAGTCTGCACAACACTGATATAATAAATACATGGTGCATAGATATGGAAGGGGGCGGGGCAAGGAGATTAAATGAGGACCCACACGTTCCGTTGCCCCCATGCTCATGATGTGATTTACATGCTTGGGTTGAACGTCATGAAGCAATTGCATACAGTATTTGCATCCTTTGTGCAATGACATCATGATGCATGCGTCATTTTGATATCATCATGGCTTGTTATGGGCACATATATTTTATAGATTATAATTCAGCATTTAAGTGTGATGAAGGTTGGTGCCACTATGAAAAATAAATCAGAAGATAGGTGAGTTTATTTTAAAAGGGTGCATAATAAGTATCTTGCAATCTCAGGAGATTGCAAAACATCCTAGTATTAAGAACAGACCTTATCAAGCCATGATACGTTCAAACAAAAACATCAATTAAGGAACCATCTAATACGGGGCTTTCTGGGCTTTCCCTTTGGAGAATTTATAAATTAAATTGTCATAAAAGATTTGATAATCATGTATCAAATTTCAGTTTACTAAAGATCTGCTTACTTAATGCAGCTGCTATGGAGACACTACTAAACGTATCACTACTATAGTGCTTAGTGGAAATAAAGATTCCAGGCCTCTAGCATTAAATCTGCTTTAAGGTAATCACTGTGCAGAGTTTAACACAGTTACAGAGCTGCTCTGAATATTGGGAAGTAAATTCAAACAAGGATGGGATGCAAGTGTATAAAACTTGGTGCAGGGGGTGCTGGGGCCTAGTCTTCCTAGTTTTTCCCACTTAGGGATCCTGGTTGTGCCAGTCCTAAGCCAAATAAGTGCTATAGCTATAGGAATAGTTTTCCTACTTGATTTTGAATAGCCTGAAGGTTAAAGATGAAAGATTTGATTCACTAGTTGTAAAACCTGATTCATTAATTGAAGACATTATGAGCCAATAGCAGGTTCATACGGCAATGAAGGGGCTGGAATCACACTGGGACTGTGATGTTTTTAGAGGCTGACTAGTCCTGCTCTCCACTGCACCTCACATACTATCAGGATTCTCAGTTTGGACTCATTGTAACTTTCTGACCCACTAGAGCTTTTATGTCTGTGGCAGAGGTGAGCAACTTTTTTGTTGCCCAGGGTTGCACATTTGTTTGACCTCCAGCTGCTGACAACTGACGTCACAGAAGTGAGCATAGCCAAAAATGTTGGGAGGATGTTTATTTTGAAGAAGTGAAATGGATGCCTTAAGTCCTAATTCTAAGCCATTACCACTCAAGGTCTTGTGACTGAGAGAGTGTACAAAAAACAAATAAGATAAAGAAAATAAAATGTGGTTAAATTGGCTTGGTTTGGAGGGGTTCTAAGAGGTGATGTGGATTTCAGACTTACTCTAGAGCAGTGTTTTTCAACCTCGGCAACTTTAAATTGCTGGCTGGGAAATTCTGAGACTTGAAGTCCACACAGCTTAAAATTGCTGGGGTTGGGAAACACTGCTCTAGAGAATATTAGAGAAGTTGTACATAGTCCATGGATTGCAAGTTGCCAACTTTTTGATTAAAGGAAGGAAGGAGACACTTTTCTGGAAATATTTTTAATGATGAACTATGTCCCCAAACCAGGAAGACATGTACAGACATACTCTAAAAGACAGAGTATGGCTTAATAATCAGATGGAAGTTGCATGTTCCCTAGATAAATTCTTGCTCCTAAATCCACATTTGCTGATGCGATGGAATCCAGGACGCTAGCCATATTGGGGATGTGTCTGCTGTTACTTCCATTTCCAACTTACTGGTCTGCATGTTCTGGACTCTGCTAATGATGAAGATTTGGTACAGAATTCCAAACATATTGCCATTTCACACCCAATGTTTCCCAGCTTTTCTTCTGGTAGTTGGTCCTTTAGAGACAAGCAGCTGCAGCATTGCAAGGCCTTTTGGCATCTGGATGCTGCTCAGTGTTTCTGTCTCCCACAGCTAGTAAATGCCCCTACTATGCTTCTTCTTTATCTTTCCACTGCTCAGACAGTACATCCTCATTGGGTTGTGGCCAGCTCACAAATGCTACTCAAAGTGAAAAGCAATGAAGGAACATCTACAACACACAGCTCCTTTACAGGCTTCCTTTCAGAATAACTGTTGCTGATTATAAAAAGAAATCAAGGGCTATTGCTGGATTAGTTTGTTATTAAGGTTTATAGTCCAATATTTGCTAAAGAATCTTTATGCAGATCTCACCGCTTATGCTTTAATTGCTTCTTTCCATGCTGATCTGTTGTGGCAAATTCCAAATCTAGGAGCACCTAAAAGTCTTAAAATATATTAGCATAAGTTTTCATGGAGAGCCCATATTCTCCTGATATAAAAATACATATGCACTCATGTTTGATGGGGTGGGTGGGAAATAATAAACAGTGTGGTTGAGAAAAATGAAATGCATGCGGTATAGTGATCTTCTTAACAGTGGCCATCCACAAAACCATTCCTAGATGCAATGCAGACAGCCTTATACTAGTGAGGTGATTAACGCAAGTTGTATGGCAAGAACTCTTCCTCTCTGAGCATCTAAAGGAGTGGAGCTGATTCATGCAAGTTCACACCATAATAAAGTTGTTAGTCATTAAGGTCCACAAGCTTCTTCACTGCTTTTACCTTCATTTCCTCCCTCCCTCACACAGAAAGCCTACACTACTTCTTATGCCTCACCTATGTATGATCAAGAATTCTAGCTGATCAAATTCCATAGATTAGAAGAAGAACACAGAACAGTGACTTGACAAATTCAAAGGTGGTATCACTACTCTAAACCTAGCAGCAGCAGAGTAGAAGACATGGACATGTTGCCAATCTTGATCCGGCCTTATTGCCTACTGAAGCCAATCAGAGCAAAGTACCTTTTTCATGTTGGATCTGAATAGCTGCACATCCCTAGGATCAGAGGCATGGACAAAAAGTCCAAACACTTACAGAGACTAATCTAACCTATAGGAGTTCAGAGTAAGCATTTTATATTAATCTACCAATGATTTTATACACTATGATTTTAAATATTTATCAGTGTCAATATCTGCTTTTTGATATGTTATTCTAATGGAGAGGAGGTTCACTGATGCCCTTTCATTGCCTATCTCTGAGCTTGAAGTAATAGCAATATTTATACTTTTTTGTTCAGTCAATTCATAGTTCCTGGCTTCAGCTAAGATGCCTGTAGATATACAGTATATGTGTACTTAACTTCCATAGATTATACTTGGATGGATGGCATCAGAATGTATGCACTGATTCATTGTAAAACATCGTGTATTTACATTTGCAATTGATGCTGTATCTGTAATAGTCCATTTCTGATCCAAGTTTAATGGTTTACTAACACATACAAAATATCAACTGATGCTGCAGTTATGAAGAGATGCCGATATGTAGTATAACATATACACTACATAATATAATAATATAACATGAGGATGTTAAACAATTAATGAGAAACTACAGATACCAAATAATATTGCTAGAAAACATTTTCTTCATTTCTCCAGACAGTTTCCCGCACTACCACTCACAATCTGAAAAAAATTAAATAAGTACAGTTCCATTGAGTTCAATGAGAAACCATGTGGAAACTTACTCAGTGGTCCTAAGCAAAGTACAAAACTGTTTATCCTGAATGGCTACAGGGAAAAAGTTATTAACTGAATAGCCTCTTTGCTATGGCCACTTGGAACTTAAGAGCAGAATTTGTCAAGTCCTTTGTTATATATTGCACTGGGGATTCCTACTTGTACTAGACAACAAAATGTTTCAGCATTATTTATAGCTTTATAAACACTGTTATAAATGTACTTCTGTATTTATACTTGGGTTTTTTTTTCCTTAGTGGCCACGTTTGATACACATTTCAGTGCTGCAGTTCTTTACGGCTAAATCAACCATAAATTATACTTACTTCTGACTTCATCCTGCAAGGATCAGGTATCACACTTGTGTTCATCCTCTTGAAACCATCGTCAGCTTCCAACTGTGTCTGGCAGGCTCTAATGTGATGGTGTCTGGTATTGTTTCAGTTCCACTAGTGAGTCTCTAGTACACACCGAGAGCAAAATCCGCTGCCTTTGCAGCAACCCTTTAAATAAAGAGACAGAATCAAGAGCTTGGGGTGTGGGGTGTGGGG